TGTGTGTGTGTGTGTGTGTGTGAGTGTGAGTTGATTTTACTTCTTGTAGCTTTTTTTCAGGGGTATTGATTGCTGCTGTCTACTTGGTATGGCCTGTTTCGAAAGTTTCTGCGATATGTTTATGAACCGATTAGTAGGGCCTACAAGATATTTTAAAAAATTAATTAATGCTTGTTATATGTTTCGGTCTTCTTATTTCAAATTCGTAAAAACTTCGATTTTTTTTTTCATACCTGTTTAAAATTTTCTAAAGTCATTTTTTCCCATTAGTTAATCGATATTTGCCTCAATTTTAATTTTACAGCACACCAATCAATGTTTCGAAATAATACTCACTGATCAAGAAAATCTTGAATAGTGTTTATAAAAGAATGAGTAAAGTAGACGGTGTTGAGCGGAGGGGAAGATAGACAACTATTCGTTGCTGCTACAAATGGTCGCTTTTTAGCACAAGGGGGCTGTCCATAAATATGCTGTTTTGCGAAAATCGAAGGTAACGTTTTTGGACCATTGTTCAGTTTCTTTAAAAGACAAGGAGAGTTTTCTCTAAAACCAAACAAATATACACTCCAATGAAACCAAACTTCTCGTATAGGTAGGGCAATGCCCACTTTTGGTGTAGGTCAAGATTTCTGGAAAGCCCCGAAATCTGGGTTAGCCCGCTTGTCCTTAAAAAAACCCAAACATTCTAACTGTTTCTCTCTTTGTTTATCGTAACAGGAACATTGTGCCGAGTCCCAGCCTCTTCTCCCACAAGTCAACGAACTCTCTGCTTCTTCCGGCTCTAACTGCCATTCTGGTCTGACGTCACAGGAGGAAGGGGGAGGAGGAGAAGGAGAGGACTGTCGACTTACACAAGCAGACGACCACAAGTCTAGACAGGAGGAGGACGGGAGGAGAGATTTCGTACTCTCGGCACGACTACACTTCCGAAGATGTTATTCCGAACCTAGAACATTCCCCGATGTACAGTTACACTACACGTCTGACCTTGACCCTGGCGTAGAGTCACGTGATCCGACCAACAGCTGCCTCCAAAGTTTAGTAGAAAGCCGAGTCGGAGGAAGAAACACCCTCACCTCCTGGTTGCCATGGAAACGTGACGTAAGACCGCAGAGAAGCGTTTCGTCACCGGGGCAGATAGCAGACGAGAACCCTTCTTCTTCTTCTTCTACTTCCACCACTATGGACGTGGGAATTCTCCGCGCTCTGAACACCGTCAAGAACAATCCTTACGTCCAGTATGTGGGCCTGGGCTTGGCGGGATTGGTCACCCAGAAGGAACAGAGGGACGAGAAGACGGGAGCTCATCTGAAGAAGACAAAACTCCAGCTGGTGCGCATCAGTGCGGCGGTGTGTGGAATAGAGCTGTGCTACGCCGCGGAGACCGCTTTTGTCAGTCCCATCTTGCTGAAGCTGGGTGTCCCCGCGTCGCTCATGACCATGATCTGGTGCCTCAGTCCCATGCTGGGGTTCTTCCTCGTGCCCGTTATGGGGTCCCTCAGCGACAGGTGTAAACTGCGACTGGGGCGACGAAGGCCTTTCATCATCCTCATGAGTGTTGGGATTATCTTGGGTCTGGCCCTTGTTCCGAACGGAGAGACTTTTGGTATCTTGTTAGGGGATTCGGGGAACGAAACACTAAACACGGGTGGGGGTGACGGCGGAGGTGGTGGTGGTGGTGGTGGTGGTGGTGGTGGTGCAGGGGTAGGTGTTGGGGTGGGTAGGTTAGGGAGAGGAGGAGGAGGAGGAGAGGGGAGAGGAGGAGGGTTTTCCCAAAACTTCACTAGCAATCAAACTTCAGAGGACACCTCGACAGGAATCTCTTTCAGCGTCCCACCCGAGCACTTCCGTGGTATCATTTTCACCATTCTGGGCGTGGCTTTGTTAGATTTCAACTGCGACGCCTGTCAATCACCGTGTAGGGCGTATCTGTTGGACGTGAGCTTACCGGAGGAGCACCCGACTGGCTTGACGATGTTCACCGTGATGGCTGGGGTGGGGGGAACGGTAGGCTACGTCATGGGAGGCATCGACTGGAACTCCACGGACATCGGGAAGATATTCGGGGGTCACATCCGGTTTGTCTTCACGATCGTTCTGTTGGCTTTCATAGTGTGTCTCATCTCTACGCTCACGTCATTCCGGGAAATCCCGCTGTCTGAGCTGAGCGTGACACCAGAGCAGCTACAGAAGAAGAAAAAGAAAGTAGGGAAGTCTAAATATAGAAAGTTTACAAACGAGGACTCGGATTCTGACGTTGACGGCGATGATCGAGCGGGTGTTCTAGGCGCTGTTGAGAGGGGCGTGAACAGGAAAACTACGTCATACGGGGCGGTGTCCGACTTCTCCTCCACCACCCCCGACCTGTTCCGGTCACAAAACGACCACAGGTCGACGTCTAGACAGTCGGAAAGCGAGAGTACAGGAGCGTTGGGGAGTTCAAGCAGAGCTGGCAAAAAGGCTGCTGCTGATAACACAACGGCCAAGAAATCATCGGGGAGCCCGGACGGTTTCCAGACATCAAACACTTCGTCGATAAATTTGAGTAACGGCGACGTCCGCTCGGGTCTGGTGACCGATCAAACAGCCCCCGTGTCATCTTTGCCGGGTCAGAAATCGAAAGAGCAGCCAATATTGGAGTCGGGTGGTCAAATATCTGGCCGTGGACAGCGGGATGACGCGTGTGTGTCCAGAGGAAAGGCAGACTCGCCGTTGATGAACGGTCAGGTTGTGAGTCAGAATGGATCAATACGTCATCACGGCGAAGATTCTTCCAGAAAAGAGGCGTGGCAACCCCACAGAGGTCAGAACAGTGAAGGTCAAACATCAACAGACGGGAATAGGTCACTGGTAGCCTCCGCTGAGAGAGGGCGATATAATGGATCAACAGCGGTTGTTGGCTCGGAAGCCGGACACTATTATGAGGGAGAAGAGGAGATTAGTCCGTACAACAAGAGCAGCGTCAACGCTTCGTGTACGGACTTGGAGCCAGTTATCCCGGACGCTCCAAACACTGTGGAAGTGTCTACTGACGTCACTCTAGGGATGTACCTCAAGTCCATTGTGCGCATGCCCAAGTGTATGTGGGTCCTGTGTGCCTGCAACCTCTTCTGCTGGATGTCGCTCGTCTGTTACTCGCTGTACTTCACGGACTTTGTCGGTGGGTCGTGTTGGTTTGTTTGTGTGTTTGTTTGTTCATTTGTTTGTGCATTTGTTTGTGCGTTTGCTCATGTGTGTATGTTTGTTAGTGCGTAATTGTTTGTGCGTTTGTTTCACGTTCTTCACAAACAACATGAACTTGATTCCCAAGTGGAGAGGATTTTTTCGAGCGTCGCCCTCACTAACAAGAGCAAGAACAAAAACAACAACAACAACAACAACAACAACAACAACAACAGCAGCACTAACAACAAAAACAACAACACTATCACCACCACTAAAAACCATCAACAAAAACAGCAACACTAACAACACCACCAACAACAACAATAACCACCACCACTAACAACAACAACAACAACAACTCCAGAGTAGCGGAGTCCTTTTAGAGAGAAAAAAAAAGCAGCGGACATGACAGTCCCTCGATCTAGGGTGTTGCCATAAGTCAGGGCTTGTGTGTTACACAATAAACGACTGTGTGACTCGGGGGAAAACCCAGGGATCAGCGACAACATGGAACAGAGTCGAGCCACGAGTGATTTTGAAAAAAAAAAAAAAAGAATTAAAAATCGATTTTTGGGACACAGGCTAGAACGAGTGAACAAAGAAACCACGTTTTCCAAAACAATTTTCTTTTTGAATCGAAAATTCGGTTCTTAGAATAATATATCGTCGCGCTCATGAGATAACTGTTTAAGTCATTTTTAGCCTTTTTGAGAAAATTATTTAAAAAACATACTGTTTCTTTCGAACAATAACTGACCCTGTGAAATATTTGAATTTTGGTACACACAATTGATTTTCTATGTGGATTATTCTTTTGTTCAAGGGGGCTCTATTACCAAACTGGCTGTGCTCTTCATTTCAGAACCAGGAACTCTAAACCGGCCAAAAATGACTTAGGAATATAATAATACATATATATCTTTATGTACTGTAGTTGTGTTTATTTGTTGCTTAAAAAATCAAACTTAGGCCTTATGTTATAGCCTAATATTTGATTGCTTTAGTTAGGATCCTTTACAATCCCATCGACACAATTAGGGCATGAAGACAGGATGCTGAGAGGGGTCGATACATCAAAACAGACTGGAGATATTCGATAAAACACCCCCCTCCCCACCCCCCTCTTGGGCATCGAACTCATCTCTTATGCGCGTAGATGTGAAAAGTCTTTCTGTTACACCATAGACAGACCCCGATTGTGGCGATAGAAAACAACACAACACGAAAGAAAAACGCAGACAAGCAACAAAGAAGGTAAACCATTTGGTAGAGAACGACACCTTTTTTGTGCCGTTTTTTTTGGTGTTTTTTTGTTGTTTTGTTTTGTTTTTCAACAAAAAAAAGCATCACTCTGTTTGAACAAGAACAACACAGTTATTGGAAAAGACCTACGGCATGCATTTTTACTAACTGGTATCAAAAGGCCTATAATATTACACACAACAAAATTGCTTTTGCTGCAACACAAACTCCTAGTTAAAGTTCTTATAGATTACAAAGTTTCAGTAACGTGCTGTAAAGAATTAATTAATAAATATGAGTTATGGTGCTAGATCATAATGTATCCATCGAGTGAAGTTGCCAAGTTGCAATCACGAGATTCAATGAGTTTTACCACACATCATACATTACCCCTACGCCCCCC